AATTATTTACTTCACATAAATTTCTTGAAGTGAATTTGTTTAATTTTCTTCAAAAAAAAAAAATTCTACCTGTTTACATGTAGCAATATATAAGAATGCCCATTTTCTCATTCCCTTAGTTTGGGTGCAATTTTATCAGGGGGCTGGCCTGTGGCTCACTAGGGAGAGTGTGGTGCTGATAACACCAAGGCCATGGGTTCGGATCCCATGTAGGGATGGCTGGTTAGCTCACTGGGTGAGCATGGTGCTGACAACAACAAGTCAAGGGTTAAGATCCCCTTACTGGTCATCTTTAAAAAAAAAGAAAGAGAGAGAGAGAATTTTATCAGTCTAGGGCTTTACTCTTTGGTTCCCAGACCAGCAGTATCAGCATTACCTGGAGGAACAGATTAGACATGCAGAATCTTATACCCCACCCCAGACCTACTAAGTCAGAATTTGCATTTTTTACAAACTCCCAGGGTAATTCACAGGCACATTAAAGTGTGAGAAGCAATGTTCTAATGTAACTTACAGAGTCACAAAATGAATTGGTCCTAAATCCAGACAAGGTAAGTTCAGGAAGCCCATCCTGGCATTTATTAATAAAAGGAGAAAGTGACAAAGAAGTAAAGTCAGTTTTGAGAAAATCATTTACGAGATAGAATGCGTATATGTATCCTAAGCAAGTCTTTTTGGGAGCCAGGACAGTGCAGATCAGCGCAGAGCACTAACACCTTTTCCCCAGAACACAAAAGAGGATGTTAGGATCTCTCCAGCTTCATCGTTGCCCACTCTATCCAAAACACCCTATTCACGAGTCCATCATTTATCTAGATGTCTAAGGAAAACCTATATTAGAATCACTTGCAGAGCGTTACAAAACATAGTCCCACTCCCAGAGAATCTGTTTCGGTAGGGTCTGCCAAGAATCAGCATTTTAACAAGCACACCAGGCAATTCTGAGGCCGTAAAGTTTGAAACTACTACACCACTATACTTCCCAGAACACATCTGGAATGTGTTGTTTAAGCAATGTTTTATTTGCTTTAAAAGAATATTCCCCTTTTTAAAAAGGCCTTCAGCCAGAATTCACTTTTTTGTTATTGTTGTTGTCAGTTAAATAATGAGTAAGTCTAGGAATTCTAACTGGTTTTAAGCCCTCTCTAGTTCTGACCAAGTGACTCTAAGTTAGTGAGGATGGAGAGAAATAATCCTGATTGAACCATACTTCACGCTTTTATTCCCCATCCTGGAGACTGCCTTCTTGGACCAATCTAAATTCTTTTCAGATGATACCTCAACATTTTTTCTTTTGTAAATAGATTTTGGTGAAAGAAATTCATATTGTGGGGAAAAAAATTTCCATCAAAAAATTTACAATGTTAAAATTTATTACTTATAGGGCCAGCCCATGGCTTACTTGGGAGAGTGTGGTGCTGACAACACCAAGGCCACGGGTTCAGATCCCCTTATCAGTCATCTTTAAAAAAAAAAAAAGAAAAAATGTATTACTTATATAAATCAAATATGTCAAAGAAATTATATAAAAGCTATTCAGGTTTTTATTCTTATTCTTTTTCTTTATTTAAATATGTGAGTATGTGAGTATGTTTAGCTATTCTTTTTCTTTTCTTTTTTTTAATATGTGGGTGTAAGACTGTTTTTAAAATACAAATAACATTTTTTTTTAATGTAGGAGGGGCAAAGAAAAAAGGAAGCAGCACATAAAAAAGGTACTTTTCNTTTTTTTTAATGTAGGAGGGGCAAAGAAAAAAGGAAGCAGCACATAAAAAAGGTACTTTTCCTCCATAACTTATTAGAAGAAATTTTAATCAACTTATAGTAATTCACATGTTAAAGAATCAAGAGGCTATCCTAAATGTTATCTAAGTATTTTAAATGACACAAAAATTCAAGGGAATTTTAATTTATTAGTATGTGATGGGCATGGATCTTTTAGAAAAACAAAACTTGCAATGTTATATCTTAAATTAAAATGTGAAATTTTAATTTTTATCTCTTATTTGTATCGAAAGGTGTCATAATCAATGCCACATAGTAATGCCTAAGGGTCAAAAAAGAAATGAGTTTTTGTAACGCTTTAGATATTGCTTAGTATATCTTATTACCTCAAAACATTACTTCCTACATAATTTTAGAATATAATATATAATCAGGTACTTAAAACAGCTTTAACAAATAAGTGTGTAAAATACAAGTTCATATGTAAAACATTAGAAAAGGTATTTTAGGATATTATAAATGTGGTGTTTTCTGAAACTTAACATGAGATTTATAGTAATGAAAATCTAGGTTGAAATACATTTTGTATCTGATTTACTCTAAATCTCAGTTTCCTCTTTTGTGAAGTGGTACTAATAATTGCCTTGGAGAATTGTTGAGAGGATAAATGAGATATGGACGTATATCAAAATGCTTTGTAAATTGTAAGGCTCTATAAAATGTTTGTTACTATATTGATATAAAGCCAACCCATAGACCCTTCCCAATGTGGTCCAAACATTTTGATATCTGCCTGCTCAAGGAGGCATGCATTTTTTAAATGGATTTTCAAAATGAGGCAATATTTAGCTATAAATAGGTAACAAACTATCTGATTTTTCTGATTTTTTTT